AAAAAAATTACCATAAAGACATAAGTACTCAAATATTCACAGCAGCTCAGTCCACAACTGCAAGGACATGGAAACAACCCAAGTGCCCATCAAAACATGAATGGAATAATAAACTGTGGTATGGGCGGCACCTGTGGCTCAAAGGAGTGAGGCGCAGGCCCCATATACCAGAGGCGGTGGGTTCAAACCTGGCCCCGGCCCAAAACAACAACAACAACAAAACCCACTGTGGTATGTGTATACCCTGGAATACCATTCATCCCTAAAAAATGGAGATTTTGCATCCTTTGTAATAACATGGATGAATTTGGAGAACTTTCTCTTAAGTAAAGTATGGCAAGATAGGAAAAACAAGCATCACTTACACTCAATGCCAATTTGAAACTAGGAGGTTAACAATCACAGACCAACAAGAGAGAAAAATCTCAATTAAATTCTGAAGGGGAGAGGGGGAGGGGATTGAGTAGTTTCCCACCCAACGGGTATACTGCATGGATATATGGCACAATCCCTGGGTTAAAGACAATGTTTGTCTTTAACATTTCATGTGTAAGTTATATAACCTAAAGGTTTGTACTCTCATGTTAATCTGAAATTTAAAAAGAATAATTAGGCTCGGCACCTGTGGCTCAAGTGGCTAAGGCACCAGCCACATACACCAAAGGTGGTGGGTTTGAATCCAGCCCGGACCTGCCAAACAATAATGATGGCTGCAACCAAAAAAAATAGCCAAGCATTGTGGCAGGCGCCTGTGGTCCCAGCTGCTTAGGTGGGGGAGGCAGGAGACTCGCTTGAGACCAGGAGTTAGAAGTTGCTGTGAGCTGTGATATCACTGCACTTTACCCAGGGCGACAGCTTGAGGCTCTGTCTCAAAAAAAAAAAAAAAAAAGAATAATTATAAGACAAACAAAAACACCCACAAAGTTCTGGTCAGCAATTCTTACTGACCTGGAACTTGAAACATAAGACTACTAATAAATAAATAAATGTTTTCTTGCTTATGGAGGCAGTTATACAACTCATGGGCTCAAGCAATTCTCCACCCTCAGCCTTCCAAGTAGCTAGGACTATGGGTGCACACTACCACATCCAGTTAATTTTTATGTTTTTTTGTTTTTTGTAGCGACAGAGTCTCACTTTATCGCCCTTGGTAGAGTGCTGTGGCATCACACAGCTCACAGCAACCTCCAACTCCTGGGCTTAGGCAATTCTCCTGGCTCAGCCTCCCAAGTAGCTGAGACCACAGGTGCCTGCCACAATGCCTGCTATCCCTCTGTTGCAGTTTGGCCAGGACCAGGCCCAAACCTGTCACCCTAGGTATATGGGTCTAGCGCCCTACCCACTGAGCCACAGGCACCAGCCTAATTTTTATGTTTTTTATAGAGATGGGATCTTGCTGCTATGTTGCTCAGGTTCATCTCAAAATTTCTGGGCTCAAGTGATTCTTCTCCCTCAGCCTCCCAGAGTGCTGGGATCCCAGACATGAACCACCACAGCGGGATATCATATATTTACAGTTTTGGGTTTTTTGTTTTTTTTTTTTGAGACAGAGACTCAAGCTGCCTCCCTGGGTAGAGTGCCGTAGCATCACAGCTCACAGCAACCTCAAACTCCTGGGCTTAAGCGATTTTCTTGCCTCAGCCTCCTAAGTAGCTGGGACTACAGGCGCCTGCCACAATGCCTGGCTATTTTTTTTTGGTTGTAGTTGTCATTGTTGTTTTGGCAGGCCATGCTGGATTCGAATCTGCCAGCTCTAGTGTATGGTGTATGTGTCTGGTGCCTTAGCTGCTTGAGCTACAGGCGCCAAGCCATATTCAGTTTTTAAAATGCTATCTCTTCCTGGAATGCCAGGGGTGCCTGGTCTATTCTGTTAGCCGTCCCTCTGTTCACTGTCCCTGTGGGCTGCTCAGTGAGTGCTTAATTAATTGGATGAATGTGTCACTTAATAAGAAGTTAGGATCCCTCTAAGGCAGCAGGCACTGGGGTCCAAGGACCACTGAGTAGGGGGACCACTGGGTCAGATCACCTCTTTTATGGACTGGGGGCAGGTGCAGAGGACAGCAAGGATGCCACCTAGGGTAGGGGAGCATCCCGGGACAAACTAGGATGGGGCTCTAGGAGGAGATAAAGAATCACCTTTAGGTATGCCACACCTGGATCTCCTCCAGATCCTCAGTTAATTCTCTAAAGTAGAAACACTTTATTATCTTTATCACACAGAAGGGGGAACTGAGGCTTGGAAATATTAACCTGGATGAGGCACGGAGCCAAAATAACCCCCTACAATGTAATGCACAAATGTTTATAGCGTGCCTACTAAGGCTCTTCAAGGACCCCAAGGAGTAGAGCAGTACCAGGACCCTGTCAGGACCTGTTTCCCCACTTTTTTTTTTTTTTTTTTTGCAGTTTTTGGCCGGGGCTGGGTTTGAACCCACCACCTCTAGTATATGGGGCCGCCTCCTACTTTTTTTTTTTTGTTTGTTTTGAGAAATTGTTTGACTTTGTCCTGGACAGAGGGGGTAGCAGGCTTTTGCATTACAGCTCACAGCAACCTCAAACTCCTGGGCTTAAGTGATCCTCTTGCCTCAGCCTCCCAAGTAGTTGGGACTACAGGTGCCCTCCACAACGCCCAAATAATTTTTCCTATTTTTTTCTTTCTTTTTTTTTTTTTTTTGAGACAGAGTCTCATTT